TAAATGTTTTATATGTAATGCTTGTTATTATATTTATTTTTTTTAATTTTAGCCGTGGTAGCTCATTTCATAGTACGCGAGCAATCCGGCTTCGATCCCCCCCGGCACCAATACAATTGTAAATTGCAATTTTAAATATTGATTTAACACGTGCTCGGCGATTAAGGAAAACATTGTGAGGAAACCTGCATGTCTAAGAAATAAGAAAAAATTATTTCGAAGACGTGAAATTCGGCAACATGCAATGGGCGGCAGACGTTTCCTTGCCCTAAAACCCGCTCAGAAATGAGAGGAGGCTTGTACCCAGCAGTGGGACGTATATAGGCTGAATAATAACTTTAACTAGGTTAAAGGAGTCAATCGTTTTTGGGCCTACTAGAAATTTTCGCGAGCTTCAATGGTATTATATACACAAAAAAGATACCAATTTATTATTGTAAATGGTATAAAGATTTTATGAAAATCTAAACGAAATCAAGAAGTATGGAAAAAAAGAGTTGTTTTGATATTTATGTTCATATCATTGGTTCAGATAAAGATAATGTAATATTAAAAAAAATTGTAGTAGAGATGTGCCAACTCGGAAGAACCTCGACTCGAGTTAACTTGAGTTGAAATTCATGTAACTCGAATAGTACTCGAGTTACGCAACTCGAATTGGCGGAACGAAGCTGTGTCAGTTTATAACAAATTATTTTTATATATGTTCTTCCAAGATAATTATTATAATTATTTAACTTAATAGGTAGTTATATATTATTGGTTTGCGTATAGACAATCTTCATAAAATAATATCTATGACGTAGCGTAATGTTATTAATAATTTAACTATCACGAATTATACTTATTCAGCTTATTGACATTACATAATATATCAATAAATTGCTCGAATTAGTAAATCGAGTTCATGACTAAATTGTAGACAGACACTGCTAACCTAAGACGTTGCCCCCAACAACATAAACTACAAGTGAATCAGTGAAGTTACATCCATTTATTGCTTTCCGAATGTACACGGTGCGTCAAGTTGACTCGGTAACTCTAGTGCAAGCAGGTTCGAGTAAAATTTTTTTTCACTTGATTAAACAACTTCACTCGATTCACTCGAGTCAAAACAAAGTTCAAGTTTCATCACTAATGTAAGAATAAAGTCTATGATGGTTATTAAACTTTTTTGGCAGCATAATTAAAAAGTTTGACTTGTTTGTTTACGTTACAAGACAATAAAATATCGTCTCATCGATGCACAAGTGTATGGATACATGGAATATATAGATATAAATTATATTCGTATCATAATATGGATAATATCATGCAGGTTAGCTAAATGTTAACAATTCAAATTATCTATTTTTCTTCTATAGATGTATGTTATTACAAGAGTTTATTCCACGTAGAATTTTAGAAGATCTATAAATTGTGTTGAATTACCTAAGACAAATGAGGTCTGAGAACCTTATTAGTATGTTAAATGTGACAATGTACTAAAGTTTTATGTTACAAGGAAAATTTAAATTAAATATATAATATAATAAGGTAAAAATACATTATGTATTCAGCAAGTTGCTCCATATAACTTGACAATACTTAATTGCTTATTTGGTAGTCCAGACATGGATCCTTAATTGCCAGCCATAGTTGATAGATAGTATATACGATGCATATATTTATTTGAAAAAAAAGTAGTAAATACTTGTACCAGAAGCAAATATACAGTTTGCATATGTATTGCGACTAAGTTAAGCAAATTTTAATTGTGTAATGATTATGTCATTGATGTTTTGAACCATATCCTGCGACGGAATTAGATTCTTCTATTATGCTTAGATTGCTTTGTTGTTAACTCTCCAGAAAGGAATATTATTTTGTGATCAATAAGTTATATATTTTTCTTCTACATGAAACCAGTAAAAATAAAAAGTTATCTATAATTACTATTTTTGTATTTGATCAACTGGAGATAATTAATCATGTATATTTTATAATCATTTCTTATTTATATACATATAGGCAGAGATATCAAAATTCTGACAGATATATGGAAATATAGTTTATTGACATTAAAGGAGTCTCATCTCATATCTCTTATTATTGAAAATGTCCTTTTCATTCCAAACAATATCATAAATCATCATGTTTTTTGGATTTATAGCATTTGAAATGTAAAGCAATAAATATATAAACATAGTCTTCACAAACTATTTAGAATGAAATAAATATAGATAAAATAATCTGTATACCTTGCAGGATAAAAGCTTACAGAGGTGCCCGTAGGCAGAGACAAAAAAGAGTATGGATATTGAAGACAACTGTCATATAATTGAAAATGTCCTTGTGATTTCTGCCAATATCATAAATGGACATGTTATAATCAAGTTATTTAGAAAAATATCTTTCGAAATAATGATTGACGATAACAAATACAATTTAATTATACGTGTGTTTTATTATCCTTCCATAAACAGTTTAAAAAATCTTACTTCCTCACTATTTATCAGTGTGTAATAACAGATAAAAATCCGGCCAAGTGCGAGTCGGACTCGCGCACCGAAGGTTCCGAACAAATCCGTAGGTATATAAGTTTAAATTTATTAAAAATATTTTTATTATATGATCTAACTAAAAGAACAATGTCAGACTTTCATACATAAAATTAGTTGAGAAGAAATTGTAGCGTCTATATATCAAAAATATCTTAAAATGTTAAGCGTCAGTCCCTTAATAACTCTGTCAAAGAATTTTGTCCTGAGAAGGCGTCAAAAAAAAGATATTTAGATTTGAACCTTTTTAGGTTATGTCCTATGTCACTTGGAAAAGTCATGCTTCCTGTGGTTGTTTGATGTTAGCTTAATAGATAATTGAGAGTTTTTAGATTATTGTATCTCTATTATATATTTGCATACTATAAATGTATATTTCTGGCATGGCTCCAGGGCCTTTGTTTCATAGTGACATTCTCAGAAGGACTAGAACCCAGAGCCGTAAAGCCAGTGAAAAAAAACCAGTGACATTTTGTTTTAACTAGCGTTGGCATAACATAAAATGGAATTGTTACATAGTACTATGATTGAGATAATGTACTATTGTAGGAAATTCTTTGTAAGAGACTTATTCTCAATCATTTCACTTTTATTTTTATTATTACTGATAGTATAGTTATTACTAATAATAACTTAATATAAAAATATTTTGTGTGTTGTGTTGGTAGTCTTACAAAGTGTATACGAAAATAGTATGAATATACTAAATGGCAACACTTGAATAGAGTAAAATGATTTAAGTCATTTGATATTCCCAAAAATGTTTGTCTTTTTCTGTGGCTTTAATTAAAATACATTTTTATTTCAAAAATCATAGAAAAATAATAATACTCATTTTATATATAACTTATTTCTAGACGCGATAATTTATGACAACTATTTTTCTGCCATTGCTCTTTATGCTTTTCGCAAGTTTTCCTTTATCTGTGCTATAATACGTAACTTCATACCAAATTTTAAGATTCTGAGTTCACGGGAAGTACCCTGTAGATTTTGATTCCCTTGCGATTGTCGTAGATTTGTGGCATAAACGGCTGTATTTTTTGATTGCGTTGGCTTAGAAGTTTGTTTTTTTCATAGCTTCAAGAAACAGGTAGACTTGACTATTTGATATGAATTTCAGCTTGATACCTCCACGCATTCCTGAGAAAAAGGGTCTTGACAGACAGACAGACGGACAACAAAGTGATCCTATAAGGTTCCGTTTTTTCCTTTTGAGGTACGGAACCCTAAAAATGACATCAACTAGACATTTTGGCTTTAATGGTGTTTGAGGTATGATAACTAATCAGTTAATATATTTTCAAACAAAGTTTTGACACCGCGCCTGTCTGTCTATCTGTTCTACTATTAATAGACTACTTTGGAAATTATGATTTACTATAACTAATGTAGATGCATTATAATTTGTGTTTTTATCCTTACACAACCAATTCAAAACATCTTTCTTACTATATAGCATGTGTACGTAATATTATAAATGTACATAATATTATCCCTGAGTCATCTTGGCTTTAATCATATTAATTAAATGGTATTTGGGATATATACACACAATCAATCAATACGTGTAAAAAATAGTATACCAGTACATACCACATTAATTTGTGCACAGTCAGGCACTATATTTTGCCGAAACTACTAAAAGGATTTTCCATCGATCTCGATCTTAAAGTACCAATAAATGGTGAATGTACCTACAATTTTATTTTGTACTAATAATTATTGAACAGTGCACTATACTAACTTATAATACCGGTGAAAACTAATAGACAATCGCTTTTAGTTTATTTTTAGGTTATAATAAGATTCATATTTCATTTGCTAATGTCTCAGTACTCCGTTTAGATACGGTAAAACTAATATTACTATTGTAATTTATAGATTACAAGAAATTAATCGACATGCATTTCAGTAAGGGTAGCTAAAATTTGTGGTGGGCCCATTCTCCATACAAAAAGAAACTGTCTCCTTTAAAAATTATCGGATGAATAGAAATAAACAAATCATACGGTAATCGTATAAATAAGAAAAAAAAATTATTCTATTATCGTAAGAATAGATAATTCCTTGTCTAGACATATTAATTAAATTGAAGTGTACAAATGACACCCATGACAGCTAACTAGATAAATTTACGAAGTAAAACGTTGAAAACATTAAGAGCCATTATCGAGAAACCAATTATATACACAAAAATATATACAATACAATCTACAATTGCTTGTTTAATATATACATAATAAACACATAGGTCGTCGCCAAACAGGACATGGTGTTTAAATTAAACCCTGTAATTCTATTTATCTTGATAAAAATACGTGTGACATTTGTTTAAAGGTCAAAAGCCATTTTAATATTCTCTTATTGTACAAACTTAGATGTCGTCATTAACAGGTAGTATTTAAAGACAACTTTGTGATGAAGCTCTTTAGTTGTGCGGTAAATATTGCGAACACAATGGCATGGGATCTGAGGGATAAAACCGTGGTTATCACAGGTGGAAACGTTGGTATTGGGTACGAAATTGCTGATAAATATCTGGAAAAATGTGCAAAAGTTGTTATATTACTTGGAAGAAATGAAGACAACGGCAACAAAGCTTTTGAATCTTTAAAAGAAAGGTATGGGAAAGACAAAGCGGTGTTTTTCAAATGTGATGTTACAAGTGATTTGGAAGAAATTTACAGAAAAATAATCGACACATATAAAAATGTGGATGTATTGATCAATAATGCTGGAGTATTAAACGAAACAGAAATTAGAAATACTATAAATGTTAATGTTACAGCGTTGATTGAATGGTCTTTTAAATTCTGGGAGCACATGAGGAAAGACAAATCCGGAAAAGGCGGGACTATTATTAATATAGCGTCTATTTATGGATATAGAGTTGACCAATACGTGCCGGTATATCAGGCATCAAAGTTCGCTGTAATGGGTTTTACAAAATCACTTGGCAATATTGAAAATTTTAAGGAATTCGGAGTTCGAGTGGTGGCAATTTGTCCCGGATTCACGGAAACCAGACTGGTTGTTGATCCAAAAACGGTGATAAAAGATACCAAATTCAAAGAATTCACTAAAAAGCAAGCATGGCAAACAGTTGAAGCGGTCGGAATTGCAGCAGTTGAGGTATTTGAAACAGCTGGTAGTGGTACTGCATGGTTAATTGAAGGAGCAAAACAGATTGAGCAAATATTATAGATATGAAGTACCTAGAAGTTTGCACTGTGTACTAAAATACTTCATTGAGTATTTTTGCTTTCTTCGTTACGAGCCTGTGACACTACTGGAAGTAGACCTCTTCTATCAAATCACTATGCTTGGTATGCTTTATTAGTATTGTAAGTTAATTGCAGTTCCAGATGTCTCCTACCTTCGATGCTTCTCCAAATCACCGGGTGTGATATTTTAGAACTAGCATATGCAATATGGTATACCGTAAAATATTATTCAGAACATTTACTTAATTTTATTATTTGTGTTATATGGCTTGAATAAAATCTAAAGTTTATGTATATTTTATTTTATTTTATTTATAATAATGGGGGGCAGAAAAGGTCGTTGTCCGCCCTTCTCCTGCGCCCGGTGCGCCTTCTGCAGCCAGGGAAGGGAATCGAGATTTCCCTTTCCCGTTCCGCAGTTTCCTTCTGCGACATCACGTCCTCGCAGAAGGACACCACTGCGTCCCAAGACTCTGCGCTACCGACAATCTTCCGCACTAAGGCCGGCAGCGACAGATCGCCTCCTACTTTATTTGTGAGGACACGGTGCTGTTCCTCCCAAGCTACACACTCGGCGAGCGTGTGTTGCACCGTGTCCTCCCCGCAATGGACGCAGTGGTGGCACCGAGCGTCCGGCTCCCTGTCTATGCGGCACAAGTACTTGCCGAAGCAGCCATGCCCCGACAGCACTTGCGTCACCCTAAACTAGCCGTGCCTTCTCCCGAGCCAGTCGTCGAGTACTGGCCGGATCGCCTCCACGGTAGCGAGGCCGGCAGTAGGGCGCAGAAGCCTTTGCCGCCATTCCGCCACTAAGACCTGACGGAGCTCCTCTCGACGAAGCGCGATCTGCCACTGCACCGGCCTCGAGCCCCGTGCCCGCTCTTCCTCGCGCCATCGATATAATGACGCGAGTACTTTCGCCTCTAGGTCCCAGGGCGGGGATCCGGCCAGGACGCAAGCCGCCTCGTAGGAAATCGTGCGATACCCGCGGACGACTCTGACGGCCATCGCCCTCTGTGGTTTGCGCAGAATGGCGAGAGTGTCATGTCCATCGCCCACACAGGGACCCCATACAAGGCCATGGACCGCACGATTCCCACGTACAACCGCCTATAGGCGGCGCTCGGGCCCCCCAAGTTGGGAAGCAACGTTGAAAGCGCGCCCGCTGCACCCATCAGCTTGGGCGAGAGCCGCCGGAAGTGGGGTCCGAATACCCATCGGCTGTCGAGCACCAATCGCAGATACTTCATGGTGGACTCGACAGCTATCCGGGCCCCGCTGACCACGATGTGTAAACCCGGCGGTGGCGCGCGTCGAGGGCCATGGAACACCATGGCCTCCGACTTGTTTAGGGCCACTTCCAGGCCCAGGTGCCGGATGCGGTTCACCACTTGTGACACCGCAGTCGTGGCAATCAACGCTGCTTCCCTGTGCGAACTTCCCCGGGCAGTGACGAGCGTGTCGTCCGCATAACACGTCAAGTCGGCGCCCGACGGGAGTTCACCTCTCAACACCCAGTCGTAGCCGATGTTCCACAGGAGCGGTCCCAAGATCGATCCCTGCGGAACACCGCACGACATGACGTGCTGGCCAGCGCCGTCACGTCCCCAATACGTGACGCATCTCTCCTCAAGATAAGCCCCTATTGTGCGGTGGAGGTAGGAAGGCACGCGATGGTAATTCAGCGCCTCCCGAATACAACTCCAGGGTAGGGTGTTGAAGGCGTTGGAGATGTCTAAGGACACCGCCAGCACCACCCCACCCCGGGATACTATCTCCTCCGCCAGGGCCCTTACGCGTGTAATAGCATCTATGGTGGAGCGCCCGCGACGAAAACCAAACTGGTTGTCATCCAGGTCTGTCCCCTCTCTGCACAAGTTGCTGACGAGGCGATCTGCGATGATAAGCTCAAAAAGTTTGCCCGCCTCGTCGAGCAGCACTATAGGCCGGTACGCGGACGGTGAGTCCGCGGGGCGCCCCTCCTTCCTGGGCAGGACCAGCCTCCCCTCCTTCCACACACTGGGAAACTGACCCTGCTCGAGACATGCCGTGAAGAGCCCCCTTAACTGGGGCTCTAGCTCCTTCAGAGCCAGGACGAGAGCTCGACCAGGAACTCCGTCGGGTCCGAGCGTTGTGTTCTTAGCCCGGAGTCGCGACACGGCCACTCTCGTCTTTGCTTGCGTCACCTCGGGGACATCGGTGCTCTCCTCTTCTGGAGAGTCTGTGGCTGAGGGCGAAGCCATCGCCGGGGGAACGTGTCCCACTCACTCAGGGAAGAGAGTCGATAACACCGCCTCTAGCAACTGGGGTTGTATCTTTTGTGTTAGTGGAGGCGCCCAGGGATGCAACTTGCCCCGTATCCAACGGTAGGGGCGCCCCCATGGATCCCGATCTAGGGACCCCAGCAGCTCCTCCCTGGCACGCGACTTTGAGTCGCCGATGGCCAGTCACAGAGTCTCCTAAGACGCGCGGTACACCTCATACAGCGCGTCCTCTTCGGCGGAATCCCGTCGACGCCGCCTCCGGTATCGGGTGTACTGGCGACGATCCGCACCGCAAGCTATGCGCAATTGCGCGATCTCGGCGGTCTACCAGTACACCTGGCGCTTTGCGGACCGTTGGCGGACACGGGGCATGGACGCGTCGCAGATCTGCGTCATCGCCCCGCGAAACCATAGCGCCACCGCTTCGACGTCGACGGGACCGTCCGTCGTCGACTCCCAGATCCAGGAATGGACTAGGGCAGCTTCCTCGAATAGTTCCCTGTCAATGCGCTTAAGCGCCCAACGCGGGCCGTCGTTAATCGGGGTTGTTGGATGGCGGCCGCTCGCAGTCTGAGCAGAGACGTCGAACCGGATATACCGATGGTCCGACAGCGTCTCCTCCTCTGCGGCGACACGCCAGTTGCGGACTCGGCTGGCGGCAGAGGGGCTAGCAAACGAGACGTCCACCATCGACCCACCCCGCTGCCGCACGCACGTGTATTCCGAACCCCGATTCAGGACGATCAGACCAGTCGTCACCGTCCACTCTTCTAGCACCTCGCCCCGAGGGTCAGTGACCGGAGATCCCCACGCCGATGACTTGGCGTTGAGATCCCCGAGCACCAGAATGGGACGAGGGTGAAAGCGGCCTACGACGGCGCCCAACTCGACAAGGAAACCCTCAAAGTCGGCGAGACTTGTTGAGGAAGAAATACGCCCCTACAACAACGATACCGCCCGAGACCGCAGCAACCCAGCCGCGGCCCCGAGACGGGTCGATCAGAGTCTCGCCAATAATGGCCACCAAACCGTCAGCGCATCCCAACCAGTTGTCACGGGCGGGAATGAAGTACGGTTCGGCGACCACAGCCACGTGAATCGACCACTCTGCCATGCTCTGGAGTAGGAGATCCTGAGCTCTGGCACAGTGGTTGATGTTGCCCTGAAGAAAATGGAATTGTGCCTTTACTGGCATTCCATTTCCTCGGCAACGGTCCTGGGCTGCGGAGGATCACCTAACCCTAGGCCAACCCTACACGACAGCGACAGCGACAGCGACAGCGACAAAGCTGATAGGATAGACTCGACTCCTCACCGTATGGTAGCGGCGTTAAATCAACCACCCTTTAGTTCGCACCATGAGCCAACAAGTAAAAGAAATGGCACTGAATTCCCGGCACCCCTTTAATGGGGCAGGGGTGCGAAGAATCTCCAGGAGAGAAACCGGCGACGAGGTTTGCCACCCGTCACGTCCTGTCTCCCGGAGTGGCGAAAAGTGGATTGCGGAGGCCCGTCTGGCTACGCTGAATGTATGTGGAGCAATGAATGATAAGATGGATGTAGTATGCGAAATGATGAATAATAGAGGAATAGATGTGTTATGTGTAAATGAGACGAAACGAAAGGGAAGGGATGTCTCTGCACATGGCATGTACACCCCTTACTGGTCTGGTGTAGACGAGACCGAGCGGGTATGCGTGAGAGTCGGTGTCATCCGTTCAGAACGAATGGGTCAATGTCTGAAAGAGTATGAATGTGTAAGCTTAGGGCTGATGTGGATACGAATGAAAGTGGGCTTAAAGAAGTTGTTTCTGCTAGGGGTGTACGCCCCAGATATGTCTAAGCCCACTTATATCCGAGAGCAGTTTTGGGACATGGTAAGGCTGGTGTTGACGAAATGTAAGGAAAATGAAAATATTTTTATGTTAGGAGATTTTAATGGAAGGTTTGGGTGAGGATGTCTGGTTATGAAAGGATATTAGGAGAACATTTGGCGATGAAAGTATTAATGAGAATGGTAAAAACCTCCTCACCGTATATGTGGAAAAGAATATTTTTGAGACGAACACTCTCTTTCGCCATAAGAGGATTCACATGTATACATGGGAAAGAGGGGATGATAGAAGCATGATAAATTTCATAGTTGTGGATGAAAGAATGAGGAGTGCATTGTAAGATACAAGGGTTTACCGGGGGTCCAACGTAGGGACGGATCATTACTTGCTCTTATGCCGAATTTATGGTTTATTCAGGCGTTGGCGGCATCGGACATCTGTGCGTAGCGTAGCGTATAGAGATAATAGAGAGGTTACAAGATGAAGGTGCGAAAGGGAAGTATAAATGTAGACAGAAGGAAAATACAAGTGAAGAGAAGATTTATGAATGATTTAGACATCCTATGTGGTAGAGCCATGCTGCAGCTAAATTATGGTTGTAGCACGAATGGGTCGGCTCGACCGGGGAAGAACCACGCTCTCACAGAAAACCAGCGTAAAATAGCAGCATAATGCTGCTGTGTTTCGTATGGTGAGTGTAGAGAACCGAAGACCCTTTTTACTGGCAAAGAGGCATTTCATCTTAGTCCTCACGGGTGACAACGCATCTGCATCTTGAGTGTTTATTGAGATAGATATAGATGTATATAAGTCACAGTAACCACTTACCATCAGGTGGACTATGTGCTCGTTTGTCACCCGATCCTATAAAAAAAAGACTT